GTTTTTATGCTCTAATAAATTACAATAATTTAAATTTCTTGTTGCTGCTTCTTTGTTGTCCACTACTGTTATTTTGACTAGTTTGCTAACTTTACCATAAAACTACATTATTGATACGGACCAGGAAGAGCAATAAACCAAAACAGATCTTTGGTGTACAACACTGCTTACACCTGAGAATTAGAGGCCACCCAATTTAGCATGTGTGTTTTTATTTATTTACTAGTTTTCAGTCCATGTGCACACATTACAATAGATTTCTAGTCTTTCCATCTCCATATATTGTTGCTTGCTTAAAATAAATAAACTGTTCTTTTTGTTTGGTTAAAAGAAGACTAGTAAATTAAGACATCTTTTTGTTGGTTAAAAGAAGACTAGTAAATTAAGTCACTGTTTCAAAATCCATGCTATATGTCTTTGAAAATGTGATTATTTTGTAAATATATTCCTAATTTAGCTCTAATTGTATTTTACCACTAATGCTATCAGTCTGTAGTTTCTTTGTTCTGCTTTTTATGACGTTATTACATGTGTAAGATCGTCTCAAACACCTGTGGTTTCTTTTGACATTGTGAAAGCATTTGAACACCCCAAAAGGCAAAGATTGTTCTCTAAAATACAAAATAAAGTTACATACTCAAAGGATGCAAACAAACTTAAATTAATAGGTACAGTAGCATTCATCAATTCAGCTGTGTATGAGTGCCTACTGTATTTTGAAAGCTGTCTTTTTGTTATAAAATAGAAAAGCAAGGATTACTTTTTCTAATGTTATATTTAATGCCATTAAACATTTCTTCACATTTTGTCCTTATCAGGAAAACACAGCTGTGTTATTTAACATGCACACTTTTTCGGCAGTTTCTTATTGTCAGCATGACATATCTGGGCCATCGAAACTTATTTAGCTGTACATGAAGTATAAATTTGCTTTAAGTTAAACAGCTTTAAAAATACAACAAATCTTTAAGCAAAATTTTCCTTATTCTGATTTCAGTTATGCCGGATCACTCTTGTAAATAGTTTAATGTATGGAAATATGTCTCCCTCTGGACCTCTCTTGGAATACATTTTGCACAGCTGAGCTTACCTCCCACTTTCCCCCTCATACAACATACTGGCAGTCAACTTGAGTTGGGGGGGGAGGGTGTTGTCAGACAACAGAAGTATAACATAACCCAATCTCAGTCTGCTTTGTGAGACTTTGTCCAAATACTGCAGAGAACCTTTCCTACATATTTGTAACTTATTCAGATACTGTATATTTGTCATAGCATGGAAAATGTCTTGAGACAAAACTCTGAAATTAAATAAGTAACAATGCTGAAACATAAGTAATGCTTATTGCAGTTGTATTTGTGGGGAAAGTTGTCAACAATATACATATATATATAATACATATTTGATAGGAATAGTATGACATTTTTAAATTCATTCTATATCTGTTAATATATTTTATTTATATGTTATATTTAGACTATTATGCCTAAGGCTCTCCATCTGCTTTCCTTAAAATGGTATTTAGGAGCCATTGAAGTTTCTCTAGTTTCTAGTTTAGTTAAAATTATTTATTGTCCAATGATTATACCAAAGTCACATATTAGTATTAGTATTAAATATAGTGATTTTGGAAGTTTGTGATTATGATTTTTTACACAAAAAAATCCATTATTAAAGATGCTGAAAAAACAAATATCTGCCTGGATGTTTCATTTAACTACTGAATACATCTTAAACGATAATGGATCCTCACTATGCACAATAAATTGCAAAACCAGAAGACTGAAATGTAAGTTAAATTGACTCCCGATCAGTAATCACCATCATCTAAGAACTTTGATTGAGGGATTGATGAGGCAAAACACTCAGTACCTGTGAAGTAGTTAATTATTCTTTATTTAATTTTTTTGTTTGTTTTTAACTAGGTAAACAAAATGTAAAGGGATGTCACGAGATTAAAAATAAATACAAAACAAAAACCACTAATTATGATACTGTATGTTTGTGGCTATATACACAATTAAAAACAAATGCTATAACAACATTTCTTATGTAATACTTACAAACAGTGTCTCCTGTTTTAGAACTAAAAAATATTAAGAAAAGCGACATATTTTCAACTATTGTGCTTAAAATTACTTTCAACACACTCTTTTATTCTTAAAATTATTTGATAATATTATATTCATTATTGAGACACTAGTCTCACAAGATTCAGCACCCTGGACAGCAATGTGATCAGCAATCAAATTCTTGCAGACAATTTTTAATTTGTTTATGAATAATTGAACATGTCTCAGGCACACCCAGTTCACCTGGCTCTTAATATTCAATCTGATGGTCAAAGCTGCATTGCTACATTGGTCTTAGACCGGTTCACATAAAACTCACAGTTGTATCCAATAAATATTTTCATTAATTTCAAAATGTAGGAAAGCAAAAACTCACATGCACTCCTGTCAATATTTTTAATAGTCTTAGTATCATATTATGATTGCTCAGGGAAGGTCTGATGCAAAGTGAAAAACCAATAAAAGACAAATCTTTTCCATCTCTGGATTAGTCCCATGTTGTATACTTAAGCAAATAAAAAAATAAAACATCAGTAACAATGCTGCAAGATGCAATGGAAATATCATACATTTAAATTAAAATGGAGCTGCTGAACTGAAAAATCATCATTGTACACAGAGCTTTCTGTTTGCATAGATTCATTTAATCACAGTGATAAGTGATAACAAATGTAATGTAACTATGGCTAAATGACATTCAGTGAGAACATACAGTACAAATGATAAGAAAAAATGTAGTATGGTATTCTTTATCATCATATCAAACTAATAAAGTTTTAGTGGAAGGGGGTTCTGTTCCAAAGAAATTATAATGAAAAAAAGAAAAGAAAAAATGCATATGAATTTTGATTTGCATGGGCTTTTAATTACAGCACCAATTACTCCATCACATGGCTTCTAAAAATTACAGCATTAAATACTTGGGCCTGAAAGGTCTAATTTGGGTGGAAAAACACAACACGTATTTGAATGCATGTGCATTAACCATGAGAATATTAAATATTCTTGCCACACTGTCTTACAGTGTGCTTCTTGGTATGGGTTTGGACATGCTATAAATTAAAGTCACCAAGGTTAGAGAAGATTTAAGCTTTCTGATTGGTTCCCCTATATATGTCTCCGTAGAAGGTTTGAAATATGCGTGACATTAATGGGTACAGGGAGAAATCCATAGCTTTTCATTCAATTTACCTTCATTACTCTCTGGGGAACTCTTTTATTAAACAACAGCTCCCACAGCTCAGAGAAAGTAATTAAATTGCTGTGACACTTCCTTTTACCTTCAATGCCATCCCCTCAGATGCTCTTTAAAATCTAACATTATCACCAGGAATCCTGAATACCAGAAGAGTATTTGATCACAGTGAACAAACATGAAAGTATGCATTCTAGACATTAAACATTTAATTTTATGCAATAGAATCTTAAGCAGTTGCCTGAGTTGTTCACATTAACATTTGCCCTGCCAGTGAAGCTCAGCTCCTTTGTCTCTGTAAACTCATTATCTGCCCTTTATACAGGAAAATATCAGCTTGATACCTAGTCACTATCTTCAGTAATTTAAAAGGGAAGTGATGTCTTAAAAAATCTGCCATAATACAAAAGTAAGCATATCATCTTCTCTTTGCTTTGATAGTAGCATACTGTATATCCCATAAATTAGCTGCTTTCTTTGTGCTGCTATTGAACATACAATAATGCCAATCCTGACCAATCTTATTTGAGCTTGAGCACCTAATTAAGCTTTGCAGCCTTTACCTACATGCCCAATCTGAATTATTCTGACATGTTTTCTGGCTCTCCAATGAACCATTACCGCATTCTATTCAAGTCTAAACAGACCTGTCAAAAGAGTCTTCATTACTGTCTACTGCATACAACTCTAACATCTTTCTCAATGACCACATCTCTTGGTGATTGTCGTAGAAAAACACATTTTGATAGCTATTTCAATAATACATGAAATCATATGTAATAAGACAATGTTACACCTTGAGTAACAGCCACAGATGCATGTCATAACATGTTCGTGTTACTGCATGCTTTTGTTCCAGACTCAGAACCTTTGTTTAGAGGTATAGGATCACATCAGATCAACCCACTCAACGATAAAAAACTGCAAACTGAGTACTTAAAGGTAAGTAGTTGTTGATTCTTCTTCCTTCTACCCAGTGGAGTGATAACATTAAGCACTGGCTTTTCATTTTTAGGACTGGCAGGTGGTTTTTATAGACTCAGGTACATAATGCTGTGTAATGCTCAGGCTCATTCATTCGGGGGGTTAATGCTATTTCCCTTCAATGTTTTTTGGAAGCATGCAGTGGCACAACGTAGGATTTTTTAAAATTCACTATAGAAATTCACCACATATTTGTAAAGATATCTAAATAAATCAGTTTCTTCAAAATAGAGGAAAATGATTTAAAATGAAATACTGTTGTATTCTCTCAAATTTGTTCACAATATTGGCTTGTACATACACCCCAAACTCTCATAATACCAAGAATGGTAAACATTTTTTTTTCACTTTTTGGGATATTCTTTCAGGCTTTCAGGACCTTATTTTGAAATAGAACCTGACTTTTGTGCTATAATCCTAGATGTTCTAATCCTAGATGTTCTAGTTAAGACATTTTTTCTAAAGCCTAAGGTAGCTAACTACTTTATTATTAACTTAACTAATGCTGTGTTAAAATTAATTTAATGGTTGAACAATTCTTCCTTTTAATACAATTTAATACAATGTATTGCAGTGTATTTGACAATAATTATAACTCACCAGCAGGTGGTGCTGCTTAAAATTAGTAGAAGACCGGTTTTCACTTACTGTTTACAAAATCTCCCATTCTGTCTCCCTAATCAGCACTATGATATGAACAAGAAAAGCTAAATCTGTTATTCAATTCTTAAAAAAAAACAGCCACTCACTGTGTCAGTTTATACTGCTGGCAGAATGTCCTGTCTTGTCTGTGTTTCCGCAGTTCTCCAGTCCTTTTCACAGCTAGACAATAGCTTGGCTGTATGCTGAAACAGACACATAGCAAAGCACTTAATACTTAGCACAGAAACATAAAATCCACAGAAATACAATTCAATGTGATTTGTGATTTGGACACCGTTCTATAGTGACCTGTGATACATCATTTTCCATGCATGGTTTCTTGTTTAGATGTCTTTTTTTATTCTATTTTTCATTATTTAGGTCAATTTCTTATTTTTGATGCTTATACAATATTGTACTCTCTTCTTTGTTGGTAACATCTGTCTTTCCAAGTGATCTATTTGTATTGGACTGTAAGCTATGACAAATTTTCCCCAGGGGATAATGAAGCTTGCATTGAATATTTACATGTACTTTTGTAAATTATGTTAATAATAAATAGAACATATACATTTAATTTGCCACAAGATGGAGCATGTGAACCATAGGAATCCATGTTATTATTTTAAAAGTTACCCTTGTGTTCTTCTGCCTTTAAATCAGCACAAAAAAATCAATTCACAGATCAACTAAGACTGTGCCACCACTGTTAATATTAGAAAGACCATGCTCATTGTCAGAGTGCCTCTGCCACTGAATGTTTATGCTGTCTTCTATGATGTTGTACTGTTGTACAGGGTAAACCCAAACTTTTTTTCTCTTTAACCTCTCTCTCATACAAATAAAAGAAAACACACAAACTTCCACAACATGACAATTTTCTCTTTTTTTTGCGAACTAAACAGTTCAATACACATATAATACTGGTGTGGCTCTGTTACTGATTTTTTTTATTTTCATTTTTTAAATATTCATTTATCTTTAATTGAGTTATACAATATAACACTGTATATACAGTACAGGTGCAAAACCTCAAAAACCTTTGCAAAATGAGAAGGAAGCAGGTCACAACAGAAGGTTTTCACTCCAAACGTTATTTCAAAACATCATTGCCATTGAATGTCTAAATCTTTCAAAAAGAAATAAGATTTAAGAATTATGCGGAAAGAACAATATTCTTATTCAGCAGTATAGTATACAATACAATATCAGGGCTGGCCCTGGACATCGGCAAACTATTTGACTGCCTAGGGCTCCACACTAGGGGGCGCCCTCAATGTGCAACATAACATACAGTACTATATTTTTTAAATGGTACATTCAAATGTGAGTGAAAAAATCCTATAGTGGTTCTTTCTGTTACAGCTGATTATCTTTACAGAAGCCCAGTCAAAAAATGAGCATTCAGAATTGAGCATGCAATACATTTCTGAAGCGCAGAAAAGAAGAGCTGGAGTAGCGATCTCAGAACAGAGGCATGCCAAAACAAGTCATTGGAATAATGCATAATATGCATAAAATGTAATAAATTTTACTCTATTTGGTTTTGAGTGTGTCAGGTACATGTAAGTAGCGAACGGTAGACAAGCCACATTTTCATGCTAGACACGTTGACTACTTGAGGTGCTTTATTAAAGTTAACAGTTTAACGCTTCCTGCAATCGGGTAGCTTGAAAACACTGTGTGAGTCGCCTTGCTAAACAGTTCAATAACTGTTCAGCAATTATACATAATCGACCTAAAACGCTTTGTTTTCCATGTGGTTTCTCCTGTACTTAATTAAATATGAACCCAACCTGTAGCTTTTCGGATTGCATTCGTTCTCCTAGTGACAGTAGCAGGAGCAGAGTTTTCAGAGCTCAAGTTTACTGAAACTGAGGCCAACCATGGCACGAGAGCATCTTAGTGGACTTGCTATCATGAGCATCAGTCATGCAGTAGATTGACTACTATCATATAAAGATGTACAGTAATTAATGAAGAATTTGCCTCCAAAACCAAAACCTAGGTGAAATTATGTATTGAACGTTTTTATAAAATTTTCCCATCTGCTCAGCCTTACTGATCTCACCTCCCCTGTTGTTGAGTGAAATTGTTTTTTTTCTTATTTGCATAATTGATTCTACAATTCCTTTCTACAGAGGTTACAGTGCAGGAATTTGCAAGTTATGATCTACTGTAATATTTCAGATCCTATTTATTATTATTTATTGTTATCTACATTCCTACAGTATGTATCACTTTTAATGTTAAAAATATATCTGTGTAAAATGTGCTTCTTTTTCTTGATTGTAAGCTATAATGTGTTCTTCAGAACTTGTTAATACAAGTTTTCTAGTTATATAATTAATGTATTGTTCTAAGTAACAAAATAATTTTGCAGAGCTGATAATAGCAGTGTGCTTCATGTGTAAATCATGATCTGGAGGGGTTCCATTCTAAGATCTTGTCTAGGGTCCCCAAAAGGCTAGGGCTGGCCCTGCACAATATCGCATGTTCACACTTGGTCTTTCAAAGGCAGTTGCAATTTATTGTCCTCAAACAAAAATTAAGCTGCAAACACCGCGATTAATAAACGCACTTGAAATGGACGTTTGAGTTATAATTGTAATTATCTCTATACATGCTAGCAAGAATTTTCTGAATGTTCAGATTACCTCTTCATGTAAAAACCTTTTCACCAGAAAATTACTGAATCATAACGGTCACTACCAAAAACCCTGTCATTGTTAGCACCCTGTTTGTTTTCTTTAGTGCTGCATTTAATTCAGTGCCCTCTGCAGGTACAGTAAAAGTTTGGTTTTCTTTCAGGTTTTAAAGTACTCTTATTGTCACGGACGTCCAAAGGGACTAACCGTGGGGAGCAGGAGAGCGGAAAAAGACCCATATGCGTAGCAGCGAGACGGGAAAAAGGCCCGGGCTCATTAGTGCAAAGAGTTCAGGAATGCCGTATAGAAACCTATGCCCTCAGGGAGCGGACGTGGGGCGCCCTGGTGCTAGGCGGGTCTCAGGACATCCAAACATCAATGCTGAGCGAGGACAGAGTGCAAGACCCGGAAATATATAGCCCAAGGGAAAGAGAGGGACAGGAAGGACAGCAGACCGGAAACTAGGGACAGGACAGAGAAGGAGCGCCCTCTGGCTGCAGAGGGCGTGACACTTATGTGGAGTACTTTACAGGTTGCACAAAATCGAAAGCTTTGGAAACTGAAAGATGGAAGACCTTTCTAAGCTTTGGAGGAGAACATTATGTATGCCAAATTATTCAATTGTATAAGACTCAGAAACTATTGTTAATGATATGTGAAGAAAAAAAACAGATACATTGATACAACAGATACATAGAGGTTCCAAATTAAAGGGCAACATTTATTTTTATTAGCAGTAGTCCCCTACATTAAAACAAATAAAAAATTGTCAGGAGCAAAAACAAAAGGTACTCATAAGAACCTGATATCATATTTGGAAATTGTCTGATGGAGTACTAAATAGTATATAATACTCTACATTTACACTAAATTGTCACAAAATTAGAAGTTCTACAGATATGTATTGAAATTTGGCTTAGATGGAATGACAATAGAAAGCCTCAAGACTCTAATATTCAGGCTCTGAGAAAAGCTGCATGGCAAGTAAAGTACATACTCCTAGCAGGGCTTTTCACAGCACTTAAAAAATCCTTGCATGGTATAGTTTGTGAGTTCAAAACTGTAAAATTGCATTATTGCAAAATGGGCAAACAATTAAAAAGTGCATTACTGATCTTTTTTAAAGTATTGACTGAAAACTGGCAGATTTTAAGTCCTACTGTAAATCAAGTAATTTTCTTTAGATTACATTGACATGGTTCTGAGAGATACATTCAATATACACTGAGCTTGCCTTGATCCTTTAATGCTTCCTGAATATGTACAAATCTGATTATAAAATGTTGTGGAAGTTAGGCCTTGTAGTTTTAGAATGTTTTTCTTTCATATTTTACATATTTTACTGCTGTTATTACTGAACTGAACTTTGATGGTTCTAAATCACACATTACATTCTGTTTTTGGACTATATCAGAGTAGTATAGCCATATATACAGTTTTGAGCATAATCTTTATATCTTTGTTTTATTCTAAAATATCCCTTCTTTCCTGAATTTCTTTACTAATCCAGTGTCTTGACAATCACCACAGTACAGTGACATGCTGAAAAATACACTTTATGCAATAAAATGCACATAATGCACATACTGTATACTAATAATGATCTCTGTTGTAAATAAATGGTTTTCATAGTCCTACCAATCCTGTAATGCCATACCACAAATAAATGGAACAAGATTTAAAGTGTATTTATAAATGAACATGCTTTGACTCAATTTCCACTGTAACTGGATATTAGATTGAGTTTTTTTGTGAAAATTCATAAATCAATACTAAGATATTTAATAAGATATTTTTTACCTTAAGTGCTATTTATGGTTGAGTAAGTGAAATGTGTAAGTTTCCATACATTAAAAAATAATTTCAATGTGAATATACAGATTCAGCCATTCAAAACGAGCGAGGTACGCTGCGGTACAACACGGTGGGCGTGTCGCAATATACCGCAATATACCATCTGCAAAATAGATTATGTTAATAATATCCGGAATCACCTTGTAAAACCGGCAGGTGGAGCTAAAAAAGGTTAACCTTTCTTGTACAGCATTTGAGCTGTCACCAGAAAACACCCGGTTTCAAATCCTGATCACTGCTGAGGGACAATCTTTATTCAATTAAGAATTTAAGTTCTATACTCTTTAGAATTTTAAATTTAAACTGTGTATTACAGCATGTTAATCATTATACATTAAAAAGTTGGTATATTTTATGAAAGCAAGATTGCTCAGTCGGACAAAAGTATACAACCTACCACCTTTATCATAAATATTTTAATTATGCAGAAATAGTTTATGCATCAAAGTCTTTACCGAAGATATTACTAATAGTATTAATAATGAATCACACATTTGTTTCCAATCATACAAAGCATGCCTTTCACATGCTCATAAAATATATTAATTTAGGAACATAAATACATGACTGTATATGGCTGGTCTTGGTAATTTAAAGAAAAAATACACACCAGTATTCCATTTCTCCCTAAACATTTTAAGCATCAAAGCCTTACGTGTGGTTATTTCGGAAACAGTTTTACTTGCTCCTTCTGACCATAT